ATTTTAATTCTGGCCCAGAGGGGAAAAAAGTTTGGGAACCACTGCTCTAGAGGCTACTGCCATCATTTCATCCACAAAACATATCCAGTATGTGGTGGGGACAACAGACCTATGGACACATTGCAGCACCTATCCTGAATTGAAGCCAGGGTCATCTTTAAATAAGAAGGATTAACACTTAACATATTTCTTTGAACAGAACAAATGGAAATTTCATGGTGCATCTGTACAATTCTCATAAATTCTTGAACTTGTAGAGTAATTGCAGCTCAGATTGAGGAATCGGAGAGTTTGAATTCCAGTCAAGTTCATTACATTTACTTATATGCTAATACCCTTGTATGTAGCCCTGGCGAAATACATATGCAGCTATGAAAGGATCATTTGCTTTGACTTGATGATGCTGACTAGGGTCAAATCCTTTTTTTCTGGTAGATATCCACCTTTATTGCATTCATCTTCTGCGTTACATGTTTTTATCACCCACATTATGAACGGCTACTGTATTTAATATTGTTAAAACTGAACATAAAAAGATATCAGGAAGATGTTTGCAAATCAATCTAATTTAATGTTACTGCTACTTTGAGATTCATTGGTTGACCCACATTTATGTTTTGTGCCAGGTTAGCTTGGAAGATATTCTTATGTTTGTTTCTATTTTTGTTTTGTTTTTTTCTCCTCTCACAGCTGGAAGACCAGTATAATGCTCTTTGTGATGCAGACATACCAACTTGGGAAACCCATGGAACATTAATGGTGAGTAGAATTGATTTTGCAAAATAAGAAAATATCTAAAATTGCTTTACATGAAATGCTGTCATTCTTTTCATTATATGTTATTTTGAGTGTAGTCTTTGCATAAAAATTTATTCTATTATGATATAAATTTTTATGTTTCTGTTATGTTATAAATGCTATCATCCTTACTCTTCTCCCGCAAATGCTATCACCCTCACTCTTCTCTTGCAAATGCTATCGCCCTCACTCTTCTCACATTGACTGCTGATCTGAGATGGAACAAATACATTGAGTCAATTGCTTCGTCCACCGCGAGGAAAGTTGGCTCTCTGTGCCGCACCAGGAAATTTTTCTCCCCTGAATCGATACTTCAAATATACAAATCAACCATTTGCCCTTCCATGGAGTATTGCTGCCATATATGGTCTGGGGCACCTTATGTTTACCTCGGAGGTTCTTGATAAGATCCAGAGGCGGATATGTAATATAATTGGTCCTGATCTGGCATCTCGTCTGCAGTCGCTCTCTCACAGACATGCCATCGCCTCTCTCTTTTTTTTACAAATACTTTCATGGTAATTGTCCGATGAGCTGCTTTCACTGGTTCCCAGACCTCATGAATTCAAAAAAGCCCTTCTCTCAATAGCTTCAGGCTGGCATCCTTCCTACTCTCACGAGGCTGGCATCCCAATCTTCACCCTTTCACTGTAGAAACTTTTAAATGTAGCCGTCAATCTTCTACTCCAATAGCTTTCATACTGCTCTTGCTCCACCTCTTGCCTGTGGAACACCTTCCCTATTACTGTTTCCCTGAGAGCTATAATCTCCAACTATTCAAATGTAATGTCAATCGACATCTCCAGTTACCTTAATCTATCCACTATCCTTCTCTCCTCATCCTTTTCTTCTACCACTCCTATCTGCTCTTGCTCCAAATCTTCTGCAACCCCATCCTAGTGGCTTTCTCTTAAATTGCTGGGGGCGAATGGTTTAAAAAAATGTTATTACCCCCTCACTCTTCTCCAAAAATATTATCGCCCTCACTCTTCTCTTGCAAATGTTATCGCCCCTCTTCTCTTCTCCCCTAAATGCCCTATCTTCTCCAAATGCCATTCCTCTTCTCTTCTCAAATGCTACTCTCTTCTTCTCTGCAAATGCTATCGCCCTCACTCTTCTCCCGCAAATGCTATCGCCCTCACTCTTCTCCCGCAAATGCTATCGCCCTCACTCTTCTCCCGCAAATGCTATCGCCCTCACTCTTCTCTTGCAAATGCTATCGCCCTCACTCTTCTCCCGCAAATGCTATCGCCCTCACTCTTCCCCCGCAAATGCCATCGTCCTTACCCATCTACTGTTAATACTGTCATACTTTCTCTTATGTTATAAATGTTATCATTCTTACTCTTATTCTCTTAATACTGAATAATACAAGAATAGAAATAAAAATATAACCTGTTGAGAATTGAAGTTGTGTCATGAAAGATGAACTAGTTCTGAATTCATAATAAAAAGATTTCATCAAATAAAACAACAATAATAAGAAAACTTAGTCTTTAATTAATGATGAAATTTTGTCTTTAATTAATGATGAAATAAGAAGAAAACTTAGTCTTTAATTAATGATGTTTACAATTGGATGAACTTTGTTAATGCATTGTTTTTTTCAAATTGAGTTTATTTTTATTCTTTTCTTTTTAAATATTTTTGACAGAACAAGAAACATTCAATTGTGTGGGCAATACAAAACCTTAAAGAACAGGTAAGTCATTCAGTCTTTTTCTTCTTAACAGACATTTGGGACTTGATTCCGAAGATTAATGCACAAATATTTATTATTTTGAACCCTGCACTTTGAGTTAACATTTCAAATTTTGTACACACACTTGTTTCCAGGTCCACCCTCTCTTGGGGTAGCAGCACCTGTTGGGTTGCCAGCTATGGGCAAATAGTGAACCTTCAAACAAAATTCAACAGTACATTTTTATAGTAAAATTACCAACAGTACATTTTATGGTCAACAAAATATATATATATATATATATATATATATATATATAAAAATACCATTATTCTGAAAGTATAAAATTATATTTTAGACTTTCAGAGTAAAGGCATTTTTGTACAAAATATCTGTAGTTGAAAGCATAAAATGGCATACAAAATATTTAGATTTTGGAATTAAATAACCCATAGAGGTTGATATGCTGCCAAACAAAATCAAACAATCATCATGATAAAGTTTTTCATTATTCCATATAATATCCTGCGATTTCTTAAAGAAATCAAACTGTATTCCAAAATATAACTTCAATAAAACCACAACATAAAACACACATATCACCACCTCTAGTAATCATGTCCACACAAATATGTATATCCACAAAAGCTGAATATCATCTGCCATGTAGTCAATTGTGAAAGCATAATAACATATATCATATTTTTTATTACTTCAAAGCTCCCAAGGAAATAAAATTTCAGCATTAAATGACCCATAAGGAGTTGATATGCTTTCATACAAACACACACACACACACACACACACACACTATATAAAACCAGCAAATTTCCACAATATAGTACACTATATAATTATATGCATATAACATTGCAGTGGACTGTAAATTTTTCACTATATATAAGATTATATAAGACCTATATAATATAAAAACAGACTCCAGAATTTTCACTCTGTATATATATATATATATATATAGAGAGAGAGAGAGAGATATAAACTTCCTATTGTAGGGTTATTGTTGTAACACTTATCCATACTTGGTATAATGTAATTCGTTAAAGTACTCTCTATGTGTAATGCTTAGGCTATTGCTGTAATGCTTGTATAGTTAGTATGAAGACTGACTCCAATCTGACTACTACTGACCTCATAACATGGAACTCTTTATATTATTGGATGAATTCATAGTGTCACCAGCGGTGTACTCTTTACTTCCCATTAATATATAATATATATATTAATAATACAATATGGTAATCTGTATGGAATTTCCAGGAGGATATAGATCCAGAGAGAGCCTTAAGTCAAGAGACAGAGCAAAATTACTATTAATTAAAGAATATCACACACTTAAAATACCATAGTCCAAAATTATTATTAATTAAAGAATATCAAACACTTAAAATCCCTATGGAATTTTAAATATATATATATATATATATATATATATATATATATATATGAAGAAATATACTCTTAAGAGAGATAGAGCGTGTGTAAATATAAAAGTGAACATTGAAGTCAACTCTTAGAGGCGACAGGCTGTTTCATGCTTGACACAATCGCCAGGAACACTCGTGGCCTGACTATTGTGTCTAGTATGAAACAGCCTGTCTCTAAGTGTTGACTTCAATGTTCACATATATATATATATATATATATATATATATACACACACACATATACAAATGTAATGAGAACAAAAAATATAAATTCAAACATTCATAGCATTAATTTAAAATAGGACTCAATACCAAGAGTAGAGCAATAGTTACCATCTTTGTTCCTCACCTGTCGAGATATGTTTGCATCAAAACAAAAATAGTCATGAGTACTTGTTTTTCAGTATGTAACATCTTTATAATATATATATATATATATATATATATATATTAAATCAAATTTCAAGTGGGCAGTGACCAACCACAGCTGCCAGTTTCATATGTTTTTGCACAATCATCAGGCGGTTGGTAACTTTAGTTTGTGAAAATAAGAATCCTTATACCCCCCAGGCTAGTCCAAGATGGTAAGCCAACCAAACTCACCAGGGAGATGTTAACCTATCCTGCCAAGATCAAAATACCTGAGAATAAAAAGAAAGGAAAAAAAAAAAACACCAGAAATGGTTTGCCGGGGCAAAAAATGTGGTCAATGTCATGGGGAATGACAGCACCACTGTAGAGAAGCTTACTGCTTCAAGCAAAAAAGGTGCTCATCAATACTGGGCTACAAAAGTCACCCATGTCAGAGCATTTATAATTAGAAATAAGAATAAGCAACTAACATAAGAGTCTGCTTAAGATTGCACACAGGAAAAAAAAAAAGACTGCTTAATGCTATAGTAAATGGCAAAGCTTTAATATATTTTAAGTCAAATTTCACCTAGGCAATGACCGACAATGTTTCATATGCCTTCAGGCAATCATAAGACTTATATATTCTTTTAAGCATGTCTGTTTAAAAAATTTAGACATGTTTTTGTTTATTTTTTCTAATAAGATCCTTTTGTAATCATGTA